AAATCATTTGATTAAAATTAACTAATAATAATAAATTTCTAATAAATCCCATTCATCATTATAAAATGTAATTCAATTTATATTGATCTATCTAATTTTGTTTCAATATATTCAACTTTTAATTCATTTAATTTTATTTAAGATAATTACACTCGTATATATTTATTCGAGTATATATACTTAAGTTTAAAAAATTGTTTTTCTAAAAATCTTTTATAGTTTGATTGCAATGAGCTTAATTTGTTTGTCAATATGATATGTATTAGTGCCTGCATTCCATAAATTTCCGATTCTCTATGTCTCTTCGACAAAATTAATGCTATATCCATATTAAAACATATGTTAAAAATATCTTAATTCTTTGTTATAAGTTAGCCTTTTTTTGTTGTAATAGAATAATCCTTATTATAAATCTATGAACTGTAGGTACTATAATTAAGTATTTCATGGCATTTTTTAAGTTACTTGTTACTATGGCCAAAAGACCACCCAGTGTTCTTTTATGGCCACCCAGTTGTCAACGTTTGGCCATGAGAAAATTTTTAATACTATCCATAGGTATAGGGAAAATATATTTATTATATTAAGAGTATGATTTTAGTATTTACTTCAAATGTTCAAATATAAAAACTTATAAAATAATTTTACTTAATCAAATTTTAATATTATTTTACTAAGAATACAATTTTAAATAATATTATATATAACTAAATTTAATTTATTTAAATATTATAAACCAGCATCTTTTCTGAAAAACTTCTGAATAAAATCTCAACCAGAATATAAAGAGAAGTCTGGCTCACGATACCGTCTTTCTTTTTTGCGTAGAAATTCTCAAATTCTCGGAATTTTCGGCTCTCAAATTTTATTCTGGCTACCTAGTGAAAATTCCTTAAAAAATGGCCCGAAGTATATCATAATTCGCGTCTAAGCCCAATGGCAATCGACTAAATAGTATCCGTAGATTATAAATTACAGATGTCTAAAATATCTGTGTTATAATTATGTATCAATGATATTACTCTTTAACGTTTCGGCCGCCGGTAGCACTGCGTTGCTGGGATAACAGGTACCACCACCATCACCACCTGTCACCAGTCTGTCGGGAAAACGGTTGTGCACAGGTAAACATCGAACAAGTGGACGCAAAACAACCGCAAGTAGTTCGGTTGCGGGGACAATGGACGGTTAATCTGACACCCTGCTTTCGATTTTTTTTTTGTACAACGGCGGAAGCGGAAATTAATACGTAAACCCCTTTGCGGTGCGCGTCGATCGTACGGCCATCCGGCGTCATAATTCACCGCTCGGCGTTTTATTACTATATTTTCCGTTCTCTTAAACCACTCGGTTACCGATATTGTTCACGTCGCCATCGTACGTGCCGCGAAACTATCGACGTCCTTCCAAAGATGGTATGCGAGTCTTAGGGACCACGGGACTTCGCTGCACTTGCCGAACGGGGCAGTCTCGTCCGTTCAAACGGTGACGGGAACATCGACCACGACGATGATCACGACGACGACCACTGACTCCACAAAGAGTATTTTCAGCAAGACAATGCAGCGACGCGACATCCATTGTAAACCGTATTGATTGTTTCGTTTCAACAGCGATGTCATGGAATTTTGCAAATATCTGTTGCTCACCGTTTTCCTCTTTCAAATGGTAATTATTTACAGCCTACGTTCACCTCTGTCAGCCTGTGTAGCCTAGTCGTTCAGTAGGTAGATCTTCATTGAAACTTGAGTACAAAACAGTTTTCCGATAAATGCATGTGTCCTAGCAGGTTAATTTTTTGATAAGACTTTTGTGGATCTATAGGTATATCTGGAAATCTATTTAGTAAGTTCTGATCCATCACCCCTGAAAAATCTGTGACCGCTTTGCTTGTACTACTAATGGAGATTTCAATAAAATGTAATGGGTATACTAGTGTTAAACTTCAAAGACATATGGAAATGCATGACTATAAGTGTCAAGCATGCAAGAAAATATAGAAGTGTGGATGTTTAGAAAGAACCCATATAGATACTTGAACACAATTCTTTTTTTTTTAAAACTGATTAATTTTATATTTAAAATGCTTAAATTTGAAAAATGTTTTGTACAATATTTTGCCAATATTGTTGTACTTTTTGATGATAATAAAAAGAGTATTTAAAAAAGTAAAATAGTTTTTAATTATTATCTTAATTAAATTATAAAAAGTATAATAAAACATTTTAAGTATGTAAACCTGAGCTAACATAACACTAGATTACTCTTGACTACATGATTTATATTCAATTTTAATATTAAAAAAAATATTTTTAATATATTTGTATATTTAAAATTACAATTGTAAATTGTACCTTAACAAATAATTATATGAGAATAATTTTCAGGTATCAGTTGGAGCAAGACAAGTATTTGACTTCCTCGGTTTCATGTGGGGTTCAGTTTTAGCAAATTTTTTTGAACTTTTATTTATTATATTTGGGATTTTTGGTGTTATACAGTCTGATGTATTATATTTATTATCGGTATGTATTAATTTAATTTATTCATGAATGATTAGATTTCATATATTATTTCTTTTTGGTTTATTTATCCTTTTTAAATTAAATGTTTTTTTCATTACTTTATTATAGTATTCTGCATGGAGTGTTATTTGGTGTATTTGGAATATATTTGTAGTCTTATATTATTTGAATTTGTCAATTTTTAGCAATGTAAGTATAGAAAAATACTATTTTTTTAATCTTCTAAGATATAATTGAAAAAAAATTGTTGCTTCTTTAGAATTTTCTATGACTGTTTGTAAATTATTTTAATAATTTTCTTTATGATTATCTTATTTTATATCATACTTAGAACTTTGATGTGATGAGCCTTGGTGCAGACAGTGTAAGTTGGTGGGAATCTAATGGTCCTGGTTGCCAAATATTCTTTTATCCTAATCATACCGGTATTGAAGAAGATGCTATCAAACCAATCAGACCAGATTTAATTACTGGATGTGTCATTGATTATCAAAAAGTAGAAACTGCTCAAGCTTCTTTACAAATACTTTTAGCAGTAAGTTGTATATTTATTTTTAAATTGTATTCTATTCAAAGTATATTAACAATAAGTTAACTTCATATTTTCAGATTTTTGGTATTCTTTGCAGCTTGTATGTATCATGTTGTTCAAAATCTAGGGATGAAGGTTAGTAATATAACAGTACATTTTTTTTTCTTTTTAATCAGCCATGATGTAAAAAAGTATATTTAATATATATTACATTTACAATTATTATTATTTACAAATTTTATTCTTTGTAATTTATTTTAACTATCAATTAGGAATTTACAGTTTTACAGTTATTTTTTGTAATATTTGTCAATCTGGTAATTAGATATTAATTCCATAGGCATTTATTAACTGTTTATAGACAATTTTTTAGTATTAGTTTAAAGAAACTGAACTTATATTCTTATATTGGATTTTAGTGATCTTTTATACTCTCCTCTAAATAATATCTATGCCATAATATCACTAACATAGTTAACATTATTAGTTAATATTATTATCATTACTTATTTGTTCAGGAATTTATTACAAAAGTAAGCAACCAAAAACTATTACACCAATATATTCAATTGAGTATAGTTCACGTCGTGGGGATGAAATTGAAGAAATTAGTACCATCAGTGGTAGTGAAGGTATTGATTTATTATGAATTATATTTTGTTTTAATTTCTATAATATTGTATGTGATTTGTACTAGACGGTGACTTAGATGCTCAAAGTTCTCATAGTAAACCTATGACACCAAGACGTGTGAAACGAAGAAGTGTTACATCTAGAGGTACTTTACCTCCTCCTCACCAAGCTCCACCGCCATATCTTAGACGACAATCCAGCTCTCACAATTCCAGTCGAAGACATAAAAATCCTGTTTCTAGACTTATTCAACAACAATATTCAAGTAAACATTTAAAAATTAATTTTCTATAGTTTCTTGATTTTTATCAATAAATTTATAACAGTCAGAAATTAGTTGGTCCATAATTATAAAATTACCTAATATATTCAGGGTATCTTAAATTAATGTTTGAGTTTTTAATACTCTGCTGTTGGTTAAAAAATATTTTAATTGAGACATTACAAAACTCAGGATGTTAATCAAAATAATACATTATCTATATTTTTATTTTTAGATAATGGATTAAATGATTCATCAACATCAAATGATTCGAGCCATCCATTATTCCCAGAATGTCGAGTAGAATTAAGACATGTTAATAGAGGAATTATAAATCCTGCTTTGGATACAGAATCTGAAAGACCTACATCAGCACGTTCAACGTACTCTAATTTTCATGGAGCACGTGGGCGGCCCAGACAAGTGAGCACTCATTCTACTTTTTTTGCTCCATCTGAACAACCACCACCTGCCTATCGCAGTAATGCTTCTGTTAATTCTGAAACTGTTATATAATTAGTTACAAATGTAAACATTGTTGTTCAAAGTAGATGAAATCTTAAGATCTCATTTTTATTTTAAATAATTTTAACATTGCCTTATTTATTATTAGAAATTAAATATTGAATTAAATTTTTCATTATTTTGAATTTACACTCAAAATACAGTTAATATAGTTGTTTGTTTAATTATTTCAATTATAAACATTAAATCACTGTTTTTTGTAAGTTATATTCTCAAGTTAACTTTTATTTTCATCAAAAATTAATTTGTTTCAATTCTTCATAGTTAAATTATATTCAAAGCATTTAGTCCAAATATATAATACTTCAGTATATATAAGAAAAAATAAATGTAAAGCTTCCTATAATACATTGTAATGCCAGCGTATTCAAAACAAAAGTTGAGTATCGATATTAAAATATAACTATAAATACCTTTAGGATATAGTAGGTAATTAATTTAGATTATAATGATCTTTATTTAATTTTCTTTTAAAAATAATTAAAATTATATACCACATATAGTATCACCCAACTGATTTAAATGATTAGTTATTAGTATTATCATCATATCTTAAATTCTTTAATTTTATTTCCAATTTTGAATAAACTGATATAGTGATATATAATATAAAATTTTCATAATAATTTAAAATCATTTTAATCGTTAAAATGTATAAGGGATTTTACAAAATAAAAAAAAAATGTACAATTTTGCTTGTTGTTTAAATAAATCAGACTAATATTTTATAACTCAACGAAGATTATAGTTTAGAACTTAGTTCCTTTTAGATTTAAAATACGTGTTAGATCCCAATAGTTAAGACTTTGTTCATTTATTATTATTATTATTTTTTTACATACAACTAAATATAACTATAATAAATATAATCAATCTTTTGCATATTATCATATAGATTTGTATTGCTCAATATTGTTTCAGAATATAATAATTACCACTAAGAATTTTTTAACTAAGTGAATAAAATATTGAACTGCAAACCATATTTGAAACTATTTTCTGTAAATTACTTAAAATATTTAATAATTTACTTGTTGAATTTTACAAGTTTTAAGTTGTTTTCGGAAAATTTACAAAATTGAAAATATAACCTAAATATTCTTCAGGAAACAACAATTTAAATATGATGAAGCAGGCTCTTTATTTAAAAGTAATTTCCTACATAGTTCCTAATATTACTTAAAAGATTATAGTTAAGGTACAAGCTACCATTATAGTTTTTTTATTTGTTTGCTCTAATTAATTTTTTGAACATTTGCATTTTCACTAAATTCAACTAAATTACTTATTAGGAATGTAAACAATTGTATTGTTTGATTGTTCCAAATAAAAAAAAAAATTACGAATTAGATATAAGCTTGTGTGATTAAATTTTTAAATATTTTGAAAACACATACATTTATACATAAAAATTTTAATCAAAATGTTTGTACTAAGAATGATATATTTTATATTGTTATAGTTATTCCTTTATCAGAATATATGTATTCCATCCAATTTTACTTTTATATTAGAATAAATTAAAAATAAATTTTGTATTTTTATATTTTTTTTTTTTTATTGTTAACTGAATTTGTTAGCAACTTTTGACGTTTAACATTGTAATTATGTAATAAAATATTAAGTATATTTTGGTTGTTTTAAAAAAATAAATTAACATGTATATAGTTAAATTAATTTTTAATTAATATTTAATGTACCATATAAAGGAATGCTGATATTTTTATAATACTTATTAAAAAAAAAAAAAAAAAAAAATAGAACTAAGTAATTATCATGTAGATATTAAATATAATTAAATGTATTGATTTAAGTATTTTATTTTATTTAACGTGACATAATACTGGATTTTTTTTGTCTATGAGCATCAGTTCAGAAATTTAATTCTATGATAAATGTTATTACATTTTACAAAGAAAAAATATACCAAACAATATATAAACAGCTGTTTATTTACATAATAATACCACAGGATAGATTTTGATTACATCAATTCTATGGTTGTACATAAAAATAAATAAATATTAATTTTAGGTTAACATTTAATCAGTCTATAACAAACACATTAGAACAAACATAACTAAATGTATATTTTTAGTTACAGTAGTAGAATAGATTTCCCAAATAAGGAGTAGTATACAAGGAATAGTTATCATGTATGTTCTAACATCGATTTTGTTTATATATATATATATATAAGATCAATGCTAATAGCATTATTAAAAAAAAAAATTCTAACCAGTAGTTTTAAGTCATAAATTGTGATATGTTTTTTTATATAAGTTCTTTTTCAATTTGGTGTATTTGTTTTGTTATTGCATTTTACTGATATTGTATTTATATGTATTATAATAATATGTTGTATGCATAAAATAAACTTATCGGAATTCATAATTATTATGTCAATGAATATTATTTATAAAATGAAAACCATTTAAATGATAAATGTTCAAGAATAAGCAATTTATACAGTACATCCTATTAGAAGTAACATTCAGAAAACGGTTGTGGAAGGATGTTAACTTGTTTAACATCCAATATGCAAGTTATGAACAATGTCGTTAATAACCTGCCGCTGTAATTGCTATAAATGATCAACATCTGCCATAGTACCTCCTTTCCACGCAATTGTAATGCAATAATGTTGCAACAGTTGTTGAAGTAATTCTAGTTCATCAAGCATTTCTAATCTTTCCATGCGATATCTATCATCAACTGGCAAGTATTCGTAAATATTTATCATATTCCAGCTACGTGCACTATCCCAACCAACTCTTACAAACCTATTGGCAAACAAATTTAAAAAATATTTAACATTATTTTTTACAAATGAAAATATTTTCTTGTCAAACCTATCTATTTGTGTTTGAGGACTTAAGCATGCATCAACACCAGCTAATTGACATCCTCTACTGCGCAAGTTGTCCAACATGATTCGTCCGAAGTTATCATTCATATTTACCTAAACAGCGTAAAATTGTAACGAATAATATTCAGTTGGCTAAGAACCATTAACAACACACTTGTTCATAGTTAATAAAAAAAATGTCGTTGAACTTCTTGGCAATCCATTGAAGTAACATTGACGAACTTTCTTGCTCCATGTAAACAAGAACACATTCAGTTAGGAACAAAGTGGGTATTTCAAAATTAATGCCACTTTGACATAATTTCTTATCCAGTTCTGTTAGATTTCTAAGATCTGTGCCGATTATGTGGTAATCATTTGAATGCAACTCTGGCCCAATGAATTTTATTTCATCTTCAAACAATAATTTTTGATAATAGGTAGTTAATAACAGAGTATATAAATAAATTGATTTTCATTGATCTCATACCGTGTGTGCCAATAGTGTCCAACAAAATTTTATTTTTTTTTATTAAAAAACATTTTTTGGACGTGACTGAAGGAAAATCAATTTCAATATAGTTATTTATTCTAACTCCACTCTCTTTCAGTCTCCAATACAGTGTGTCAAACCCGGCACCAAGATTAATGATCTGACAATTTGATCCAGTTTTCTACAAAATTCCACATGAGTGAAAATCTAATAACTCAACAGAAATCGATAAATCTGTTGGGATTTACCATGAGAAATTTGTCCATGAACATTGCCACTCCTTTGGTACGAGCATAATACCCACGATTGATCTCCGGTGTTTTTCGTTCATAGCCAGTGACGAAATATTGAATGTAATTATCATGCCAGTAGCCCATCTTCACGGCTGAATACTTACACTTGGTTGCATCACAGTTTGTGGCTTGCACTCCATCGAACGACATATTTGATGAATTTGATTGTTTGACAATTGGATCGACCTAATGGTTTTGATATTTTAAATGACTGTTATGCGTAAAATGCATTGTTCGAACATCAATTAGTGTAGCTGATCGCAGAATAGAGTATTGTTTAAAATTTAAGCTAATTCTAATGCAGTAGCATATTGGAAATTAGAACAACCGATTTGTCCTCACGGTGCACTGCTATCAATTCTGTCGTATCACAGAATATTTTAATCTATTCTGTGATCATATTGTTATTGTTATCACGGAGTTATGTAATCGTCTTGAGAATAATTTTTCTTACGATTTTTTTCCACACCGATTCCTCGTGTCACGAAAATTCAATTTCACCGTAGAATGTAATATAATATATTCTACGACTTCACAGAACTAATTATACTGTAAACTTGATGCGGTAGAATACGACCCAACAAGAAATAGAATGAATTAAAATAATAATTCGGTGTTTGAACTAGATTATTATAATTGTTATGAAATGTCTCGGCACCTACTCGGTTAACAAGTTCAGTGGCGGCTTGAAGGGCGGGGGGATTTTAAAAGTAAGTTTCACAAATAGAAAAAAGTAAAATAACCAAATTAAATTGATATATGTATTGAATTTAAAATTATCATTAAATTCAGAGGCGGTTTGATATATTTCAGTTGACGGTTCAAGAATAATATGAGATCGTGAACAGGATGCGATGTATTTAAGATTTATCATTATATTATTACACAGTAACCCATCTGACTTGTTTCGAGATTATGGCACCTAATAAATTTAATAATGACGTTATAATTTGTATTATAGCACAGGCGTAGGAATAGAATTCCAAATGGAAAACAAGCGAACGTGTGAAAAACTTGCAATAACTGCGCTGCGAGAAAGTTATTAGGTAACCGATTTAATATTCAATTGTTTACTATTTAAATGTAAAAAACGTATGAAAATCCGCTATTTTGTACAGTGGTCAATCGAGTAATCTCATTATTATAATTAGATAAAGCAATTCATCATATTCTGTATCAAGTAAAACGTTGAACATTACGATTGGACATTGTAGTATGATGTATCATAGGTTTTTAAGCTAGTCCATAGTAATTATTAACGATTATCACTCGTAACCTTGAACAACCTGTTCAGAACTAGTAGTTATTATTTAGTTTTAATTGACTGCATCGTATTGATAAGTAAGCAGCTACTACAACATATTATTGTAATCTTGTCGAGATTAAGACCGCAGTTCAACAGTAGATGTTTAAGCATCGACTGTGTATTACACGTAATCCTTAAACTGGCAGTGAACATTTTATTTAAATTTCAAGGTTCCGAGTCCCCGTGTGCATAATGGTTCAAGCGTGGTTCATGATGGAAGGCTGGAGCGGTGACCAACGAGAAGAACACCACAAGCAGCCACCCGAATACGTTGATTTGGATACATTGTATAAGCTCTCTTTAGTGGAATATTTTAAGGTATAAAATATTGTTAGGTAATTTTTTTGTCCTAGAAGCAGTGTTTGTATTGGCAAAATTAAAGAATGGAGACTCTGTTTACTTTAAAAAAAATAGCGTCCCCAAGACTTGTTAAGCGTTATAATTATAACATAATAATAGTAGGGGGATGCTAAAATTTCTGAAAATTAGTTGGGGCACTCCGTCCCCCTAAAGTCAAGCACTGCCTAGAGGATATGCATAAAAATACATAAATATATGTATTGTCTGTTTATGTCCCTATTCAGACGGGATAATGTTATTAATATTTTAAGTTTGATAAGTACCATATACTATATAGCCAGGCCTGACGAGAGGGAGGGGCACCTAGGGCTGTAGCCCAGGAGTCCGGGTTTCAAAAAAGGCCTGGAACCTGACCAAGTTCACTACGGTCATGGTGTTGAGGTATTTATGGATCATCAATATGAATCGTAATAACAACTTACCCAAATAATTATAGCGTATGCTGTATAGTTATAACGAGTCTACAATAAAGTGAACTACTATATTGATCTAAAACGTAGACAAATAAAATTTTCAAGAAAGACCCATAGGTTTTAAATAATTACTTTCATTTAGTCTGTGAAATAACCATGACTTCGATTACATTATCTCTTTGATATACACATTTTAAAAGAAGACTGGATGTCAATGGCAAATTTAATACCTCATGTGAGAAGGACCTGAAGAATTTGTCCCTGGGGCCCTTGATTTCTCTCCACGGCCCTGTATATAGCAAATGTTAGGTTTTTTTAAATTTCTTCATGGTTAATCTGTTCAAATATTTTTATAACTTATTCCAATAATGTGGTGAGCCAGATATCCGTTTTCAATCTTTAATTAAAATAACAATTATCGATAAGTTATACCAAGAAATTACATTTTTAATGTTACTTTATTTAAACTCTTTTGACATTACAAATCATTCTATTAAATGGCTATTACCAAACTTTTTTAGAACTTCATAGATCTTTAATATATTAGGTACTTCTAAAAATAATTATTTATTTCTTATTATATAATCATCATACATTGCCGTATAGTATCATTTTAATATTATTTTTGCTGATTTTTTCTTAACTGACACAGTTCCAGCATATGTTATGGGAGATTAGCATCCGTTATGGTTAACTGCAAGAGTTTCTGGCTCTAATGTACCCTTGAATATAAATATATATTTTTATTATGTAGAATACTATTGTAAACTGTGTAATTATTTATATTTCTGAATTTCAGAGTGGTTTATTTCTTAAGTAAATTATTTAAAAATATCATAGTCTTTCAAAGTATACGAAATTATAAAAATATTTATTTATTTTTTTAATTAAAATTATTAAAATGTTAGGAATCTAATAATAATGTGTTAAATTAGGTATACTATATAAATTATATAAAAAAATTTAAGCATTTATTAATTAATTTTGATAATTTGTTTATTAAATGATTATTTTTTATTCATTAATTTAATAATTGTTATTATAATATCGAAATATCTTAATTGGTATAGTTCATCTGTTCTACATTTTAACTAGTTTTGCTTATTTAAACATAAATACTTATTAAAATGTTGATTATATTTATAAATGTTTTCAGGTCAATGAATTAGATCCTTTAAATGATAAAATATTAACCTCTATTAAAAATGAACGTGGTTACACTTATGAAGATGAGATAACTGTTTGTAAAGAACGTCTATTGAATTACGAAAGTAAAGTAAGTACTTACTTGATTATCGATATTGAAAATCTTTTAATACCAATATTTAGTCTTGAATTAAAAATAATAATTATTTACTTACTATGCTTGTATTTTTTGTTTTTTTTTTTTTTTTAGTTAAAGTCATTCTTTGAGGAACATTTACATACGGATGAAGAGATTAGATTAGTGTTGGAAGGCTCAGGCTATTTTGATGTTAGAGATATTAATGATAAGTGGATCCGTATTAAAGTTGTACCAGGAGATTTATTAATAATTCCGAAAGGCATTTACCATCGTTTCACTTTGGATACCAATGTATGTAACTTTAAAAATAAATGTATTATTTAAATAGTAATGTAGGGTTGGAAGAGTGAACAACTATAAATACCTGAAGCCTGAAGTTTAAACTTATATTTCCTGTTAATATTTTATATGATGAAAAATATTCTATGCTATTGTATTATTTTCCAGTACTTTATTTATCATAATATTTTTAACAATTTTAAATTTAAACTTGTTTTTGCTTTTCTTTCTACCTAACTTTTATTAATAATATAATATATTGACCACCAATCAAAATAAATTGGTTGTAAACTATACAGTCAATCACGAGAATAATTGAGTAATGAAGGAGAATCTAATTTATTTTTGTTTTCATTTTACTTTTCAATTTTTACTAGATATTTTCTCTTTCTATATGAGACAGTAGTGGCACAGTGGCACACAGCAGATTTTTTTTTTCCTTAGAATCAAATTTTCAAATAACAATAATTACTAGATAAATATTATAATATAATTTACCTTTAAGAAGATCTTTGAAAAGATATATGAAAAACATTTATGCTTATCTATACTTTCATATTTTATCATTTAAAAAATTGAAATTTGCTTGTAGTTTTCCTAATTTACTAATAAATAATGAATTGTTTTTGAATTTTCCAGAACTTCATTAGAGCTAAGAGATTTTTTGTTGGTGAACCTATTTGGACTCCATATAATAGACCAGCAGATAATATGGATTGTAGAAAAGAATACTTAAGTCTAATAACATCTTGTTAATATTTTTTTATAATTATATCCAATACATTTAGATATAAATTTTGAATACTAAAAATATATGTTTAATAAAAAATATTAATTCTTATATAATTAAAATGTTCAGTTTTTGTAAAATAAATATATCATACATTTTATGATATAACTTTTTAATTATTTAATATTTGAATATGTATAATACTGTTTTGGAACGGTAAAAGTGCCAAATAATATGCAGTAATAATGTTGTTTGATGTAAGGCGTATTTTTCAATATAGAAATCTTGCTATTGTTTACAATGAATCTGAAATATAATGCTGTGATGATAAATTTTTGGAAATTAATCAATACACATGCTAAATGAATATTGCTTACAAAATAAATATCTTATAACAAAACCACAGATATTTTGTGTGATGTTAGGCTGATTTCATTAAAATACTATGAATAAAATTATGGACATCAGATTCTTTTTTAAAAGAAACTGTATTTCATGCTAATTAATATTTTAATGGTTTTGTGGTATATTTTCTATTTTTTAAATATTAATTTCCACTTTGAAGGATCAATGATTAACAAAAAACTATACCTAAGTATTTCTTACAAAAACTGGAAATGAAGTAAATTTTATCAAAATTAAATTTGGATTTATAAAAATATGTTTATTTTTCTCTCACTCATAAGTCTATAATGCTTAAGCTTAATTATCACTTTATATTCACTTGGAACCCATTTAATGGTATTTTATATTGTGAATACAAGTATTACTGTAAAATGTACCCAACTTTAAATATAATTGAGGTAAATAGGGAAATAAAAAGCTCATGTTCATCCAAAATTTAAAAATTTATAATTTATTTGGTTTACATTGCTTATATATTTCAATATATCACACAGCCCTTAGTGATAAAAAATAAATTCGAATTTTGAATATAAGGCTACAATCCAAACTCCGGCATATCCTGATTTTTCCCATCACTACTACATGGTGAATGACAATCCGGTACATGTCCCAAAAATAAAACTATCCATGTTGGCTGCTCACCCATCCATGTTTATTTATACATAATAATATTAACTACATGGGTGTACGATTGTATTAATATTTAATTTAATTTTTACGGAGACACGGGTTGTGATTAAACATTTTGATGGTATTTTGTGAATTATGGTAATGAACACTATACACTTCGTCTTGTCTTAAGCAAAGAATACCATTTTTTTCATGGATGGACGTAAACGCCTTTTTTTAATTTGAACCAAAACGATTTAACGTTAACAATCTTAAGTCATTTTCTTAAATGTACTGGTAAATATTATAATATCATATAAATTAATTTTAATAAAAAAAAAAAGAAATCGTTTTGTAGGGATCCGCGTTGATTTAAACTGGCGGGGTGGGGGAAATCCCCGCTAGACACGCCTAGAGCAACCTTTGGCAATCTTTTCTCGTGAGAGTGGCCAACTTTTTTTTCCCGAAAACTTTAAGTGAACAACAACGTTTACTTGAATTAATTTCCATCGTTTAATTTAGTGAAAAATACCCTTCAACTTAAAAATAGACATTTTCCTTTGATCCTAAATCCCTGGGTAATTTAAACACCATCGTGCAGATATTAGTTAACCCGTTACTAAACTAAAAAGGATTAAACAATTATACAAAAATAATTTTTCACCGTTCAAAATAAATGCAGTTCAGATTATTTTCACAAATATTAATTGAGCTTACTGTTAAAATGTTTTGTAATCTTTTCAAACATTTTTTTCTGTTGATGCCTACTTTAGGCCGTATTACGACATGTAGGTATACTTAATTACATGGATTATATACCTCATAAACATGTTATTTTTATTTACTTTTTTTTTTTTTACAAAATAATAACTCACAAATATATCTATGTTTAAACATTTCATTAAATAATATTAATCATGATACACGAAAATTAATTTTTTATAATATACCATAAAATACTCTTTTATGGACAGTTTTTAGAATCGGAATGTTTGTTGTCAAAAATATTTCGGTGAAAATTGAACAGGAATTTAATATTGATGCGTTAAATAAATTTTCATTGTTATCAATAATGAAATATGTTTAGGCGTTTAAATTGGTACACAACAGCTATTGTTACCGTAGTAGAGTTCACCATAATCATATATCCAAAAACTTGTAAAAGCCAACAATAAGTATTTTATTCTAGTGTGCCAGTATGCGACGGGTAAACAATTGGTTCAGTGTTCATAAGCTTGACGCAAAGGGGAGTTTTAAACTCATTGGTTTTCACTGTTCAATATCGAAAAAGATGTGACTAATAAACTACTCAAAAGTGTGAATATCATTAATTCGTTAACCACTGACAATGAACGAATTATTTTAACAATTATTATAGTTATTCTCCTAATGTAACTATTTAATAAAAGTGTTATTATGGTTAGTAATAATAATGTAAGATATATCCGAACCAATAAAGCGGTATTTTATTATATCAGTATAATTCAATTTTAATTAAAAGTTAATTCGAATATAATTACACTTTATGTGGGTTTATGAGCGTTGTATATGATTTTATCATCCCTCCCCCTCAACATTTAAGCTCTAGTTGTGCTCGTTAGTATAAAAGTTCAAGGTGTGCTACATTCAAATATTAACGTAAATATGCTGTAAAATAAAATAAGAACGTAATATTCCAAGGCTTGTAGATTATAATCTATACCCTTTGGTAATATTCGAAAAAAGTGTGGTACAGGTAAGCATATCCCTTCAACTCATTCCAATGCCCATTGTTGTGGATACTATGTAATATAATGTAAACCTGTGTGACATTTTGCTAGAAAATAACCGAATACCGACTTGTCAAATAGCCATCAGTTGCCATACGGTGCTTATAATAACGCAAAATATCTAAACGTAGTTGTACGTGGTTTTATTTTTACTTTATTTTTTTCTGTTAGTTTAGTTTTTTTTTTTTTTTTTGTGTAAAAGATAATATACTTTAGAAGAGATGTCATAGTTATAATATTGTTAAAGGGTAATATTGTCAAATGTCCAAACGCGTGTAAATTTTCCAATTTATTCTTAAGCACCTGTTTGTGCTAGCAGTTAACGTCCTACACAAGATTTAAAGCGAACTTGTCCCCTTTTTTTTTGTACTTGTCATGTTTATTTTTTTTAAATTTAATGTATAGATTTAACTATATTTGACATCCGTTGGCATGGTGGCAATGAATTGACGTTATAACTATATGACTATAGGTTCCAAATATGATTAATATCAATTTTCATCTTGACTGTTGTATAAATGTATAATCAGAACCGTACTTACATATTTCGCGCCCTGGGTCAATCATGTTTGTATTTCCAAAAAAATAGATAATTTTTTTTTATTCCATTAATACATTTTTAGTTATATAGTTTATATAATTATTTATTTAGCCTTAATTTGTCAATCACGCTGATAGTGCTAACGCTTTTAATTATTATTTATTATTTAATATTAATATTTATAATACAATATTATATCGGGCTACAGTGCTGCCTGGCCGCCCCCTTAATGGATCCAATTTTGGCTGCCTGAGCAAAATTTCCCTATTAACCTCCCCTAAATTCGATCCTTTGTATAATAATGCGTGTAATAAAAATAATTGAAGTAATAATTGTCAGTGTAGTGGTTAATAGGCAAGGAACTAGAATTTTTTTCCAAGGGTGGCAGAGTGGGGCAAATATTTTTTTTACATGGGCTAAGGTTTTTTCAACAAATACTGAGGTTATTCAAATAAAATATAAATATTTTCGCATCATATAACATAATATAGATATTATTATTATTGTGACATACAACAACAGTTAGATGAAAACGAACAAATGGTAATAAATCATAAATAAATAAGTAAAATAAATATATACACTTCAGAGTCAAAAAACTTAAAATACAAATCTTCGAAAATACGAAAGTATTTACATAAATTACAAATTTTTAAGAAGTATATTTCATAAATTCTTTGATGTAGCTTTTTTAAAAAAAATATTTCATGACTTTTAATAAAGTATAATTATCATACATATGTTCAGTGGGAGGGACCGAGGGGGCTTAACTGTTTTCTGGAGGGGATAGAGCCCCCCTTGCTCTCCCGTGGCGCCGTGCCTGATGGTTAATGATAAAAGTGCTTTCAATTTTTTTTTTTTAACTTTTTTGTACATCAAATTCCATTCATTAATCATAAAAGAAACAATCAATTCAATTTCATTCGTTCTAAAAAGTCTAATACTGTTTATCTACAGAGTGTTATGTTATCGTATGATAAATAAGTAATGTAAAAACGGCAAACAAAAATGTAAAACCACATTGTTATGCATGTTTGTTGTTAAATGTTCAAATTAAATAATATTAAGAGAAAATTAAATTAAAATTTATTTTAATCAAAAAAAAAGATAACTTTTAAAATATAATTTTTTTTTTTTTTTTAATATTTACGCTCTGATTTTATAGTTTATTCGAAAATTTTTTAATTACAACTGTAGAATTAAAGATATTTTTTTTTATATTTACACTAAAACTCAGAAATAAATCTATACAAAAACACTTATTGATTCTATGTAATCCAAGTACAATGACACTCTTAATTGCTTGAAAATAATATTTAAACAATGATATGAAACTCATCCGCCTAACAAAAAAAAATTAAAAAAGATCTTAAAGATATCAATCAAATTCCTTTTTAACTCCTGCCAATGTAAAATAGCTCAAAAATGTGCCAAAGCACGTTGGCAACTAACTAGACCATCTTATGTCAAGAAAATGTATAATAATCATCTCTTTGTCGTTAGGCGTACATTTTACGTTTTACATTTTTTTACAAGCTGTATATTAAATATGATTAATGTTAAAAATAAAAAATAATTTTTAGGAAAAAAAAAGTTTTTTCGAGGTTTTAAAGGTGGGATCACATATTATTTCCAATCATGTAGCAAAAGGTAGAATTTATGATTTGTTCATCTTATCATAGATCCAATTTAAATTATACATTTTTTTGCAAAATTATAAATTTTTAGTTTTATTTAATTTTTTAATATT